CCCGCCTGCCACCCCCCCGTGAGCCCCACTCACTGGTGACGGTGCTGCCGGCTTTGCTGGGCGAACTGCGGCGCCGCTCGTCCGCGGGGACCGGCTGCACCCCGGGGAAGTTCACCGAGGAGCCGTACGACGAGGAGGAGGAGGAGGTGGAGGATGAGGAGGAGGAAGAAGGGGAGCCGTCCTCATGGGGGGCCAGCGAGCCCCCGCCGTAGGCGCGGGAATCCTGGAGGGAGCCGGTGGGCGACGGGGGGAAGTACGTGGGGAAGGGCTGGGATCCCGACTGGGAGCTGCCGTTGGAGCTGTCGCTGCAGAGGGAGACGGGGCTGGTCCGGGTGGGAGAGGCGCCGCTGGAGCCCACGTAGCTGATCACCCCACCTGCAAAGAGCGAGGGGTTACTCATGCACTGAGCTGTGCCGGGCTCAGCCTCCCCAGCTCATGGAGGGGGAAACCCCGGGAGGTGGGTGGGTTCCCCAGGGAAGCACCCCGGATCCATCGGCAACCTGGAGCCACGGGCATCCTGCGGGGCCACACATGCACTGAGCTGTGCCAGGTTCAGCCTCCCCCCACCGTGAGCAGGATCACAGCCCTGTGTAGGGTGGGATCCCCAGGGAAGCACCCAAATCCACGGGAAACCCATGGGGCCACACATGTACTGAGCTGTGCCAGGCTCAGCCTCCTCTCCCACAAAACGGGGGACTCCCCGATGAGGGGGACTGCAGCTCCAAGCGGGGCGGGATCCACAGGGAAGGATCACGAACGCATCCTGGATCCAGGATCCACGGGCATCCCCCGGTGGACCACTCATGTACCGAGCTGCACCAAGCTCAGCCTCCCCCAGCCCAGGCAGGGAAAACCCCCCGGAGGAGGATGGAAGCCCCAGGCGGCGGGGGGTCCCCAGGGAAGCACCCCGGATGCATCCCGGATCCAAGGACATCCCGCAGCGCCGCACGTGCACCGCCCACCCTGAGTCAGGCACCGCACCCACCGGGCGCCACGGGCGCCGAGCCCACGTGGGCCGGGGACAGCCGGGTTTATCTGGGTGCGTGCCGGCTGGGGACACAGGCAGGGCACCCCGGAATTGCCTGCAGGAGGAATGTGGGTTGGGAACCCTCGGGAGAGGTGAAATCAGGAGGTCACAGGAGTTACTCCCGCCGTCCCCTGGCTCCGTGCCCACGGCACAGCCGGGCTCCCACCCACAGCTCCTGGTACAGCCGCACGGCACAGCCCCCTGTGGCATTGGTGTGATCCCAGTGCAGCCCCCTGTGGCATTGGGGTGATCCCAGTGCAGCCCCCTGTGGCATTGGGGTGCTCCCACTGCAGCAGCTCTGGATTATCCCAGCATGGCACCTGGATTATCCCAGCACAGCCCCCTCATTTGGGGAGATACTTCCCCACTGCAGGGCTGAGGAGCTGCGTGGGGGACCCCCAAAAAGCGGGGAGCAGTACGGGGTGGCGGGGGGTGCATGTGCGTGGCCCCTGGCTGAAGTCATAGTCCTTGTCACCCCACTCACGGGGCAGGGACAGCAGCACCGGGACACGACTCCGGGCTGGGACACGTGGACGGCGATGTCGGGGACACACGGGATCACCGGGGCCATGTGTCTCCCGCCGCACACGGTGCCGCCGGCACAGATGCCACGCGCCGGAGCCAGCTTGTCACCATTCCCCCACCACCCCCCCTCACTGAACCACCTCCAAAGGCGGTCACTGAATCGGGGACAGTGGGTCCCAACCCCACGACAGCTGATCCGAGGGACCCCCAGCTGCTGACACAACAAAATAATGGGG